GCTGAGGCTGGCTTTGAACTTGCGATCCTCCTGCCTCAGCCTCTCAAGTCTCTGGGATTATAGGCTTGCACCACCGCACCCGGCACCAGGGGTCCTTTTTAAAATCCCTCTGTCCAGGTCCCACCCTGATCAATGGAACCAGCGTCTCTGTGGGCAAGTCTGGACCCAGGTGCTTATTAACATGACTTGGGCAATTCTAATGCACAGCCGGGTTGAGATCGGTCAGAAGTCAGACAGAAGGCTATCCTAGCCCTACCCAGACCACGTCCCCAGTTCCTGTTTCCTTTTCTCAGGTTGGTTAGCTGCAGCAAGTTTGCTGCAAGCCAGGAGAACTTACCAGGAAATCCCCAGGATATTATAATGCTTGACAGCCAATCCAATTAATCATCAACTCTGTAACATGATCTCTGGCTCATAAAAAAGGGAACCTGTTGAGTCTTTGCAAACCTGACCACTGGCCTTCACCAGACAACTCCCTCCAGACCCAGGGACCTGTGCCCAAGGACCCCAGGCTGATGGGCGCCCACCTCTGCTCCAGTGCCTGTGAGTATACCTCCTGCATCCCCTGAGTTGGGTTCCTGGGCCAGGGGTGTGAGAAGTGGAGAGGGCAGTGGGAGTCTGTGGGGTAGAGGTGCAGGCAGTGTCTTCGTGGCTCAGGAGAGGCATCTGGCACCATTTGGCTCCCCGTGCCATGGTGAGTTTCCTGTCTCTGCAGAAGTCCAATGGAACCTGGGTGATCTGGGTCCAGGATGGCCACAGTGATGCTTCTCGGTTCCTGGTGGGCAGAGGGAGTAGCGACCCGTGTGGGCCACAGGAGGGAGTTTAGGGGTCCTGTAGAGAACCGTGAATTCTCAAGAACCAGGGCTCCTGAGCAGGTTGCTTTGTCCCTATACCTCGGTTTCCTCATCTATAGGCAGGGGACAATGCGACCCATCCTACTGGCTTCACAGGACGGCCAGAAGGCACAAATCTATAGAGTGATCAGGCAGGAAGTCCCTCTGGGAGCCTCACCTGAGGCCACAGGTGTTCCTTAGTAGAAGGGCCTCTGGCGGGCAGAAGAAGGAAAACCAGGTCCTTCAACCTCAAAGGCAACCAGGACGGTGTGTCTCTGGACGTGCCCTCCTAGGCAAAGAGCCAAAGCCACTGCTCAGGGCTCCCTGGTGGGCACAGAAGGCTCACATACCAGCTCCCAGACCCACCACTGCTGTGACAATCTGGTTTGCATTCCAGGCAGGACAATGACAGCGCTATAGAGGAGGCGGCCTCCTATTGAGTGTGGCTGGGACCTGGGCCTTGGACCTGGGATCCCCTGCTTCTGGCTGGCAGAATGTGGTGTCACCTAGCTTCCCCAATCTCTGAGTGTGTCCCCTGCAGGATGGGGAGAGGAGAGGCAGAGGCTGTAGATAGCTGAGTGGGCGCCTGGTACCCTCAAAGTCTTGATGGCTGAGGGGTGGCAACGAAGACGATGATGATCCGGAGGCCCTAGTGGAGCAGGCACTGACCCTGTGTCACTTAAATTTTGAGACCCTAGCTGCAGGGATTCTGTAATTTGACTCTACCTGTCCAGGGGTGGAGACATTCCAAAGCATGTGGTTAGTGCTTCCTGAACTTCCTGCTGCCAGGGTGGGTCCCTGTCCAGCCCATCGTGCAGCCCTTGTCCCTCCACGGCAGCCATGGGTGAGTCCCACTGCTCTACCAAGCCTCGGGATCCTGCCTGAAAATGGGGCCCCAAATAACAGCCACCTCTGGGTGTGAGGGTGCTGGGGCACCTGGGTTCTCTGAACCTGTGTCAGCCCAGCCAGTAGGACAGACCTGCCTGGAGGGCCACTTTTGGCCCCTGCCCACCTCTTCCATTCCCCACACTGGGTTGCCTGTGTCACCAGGGTGACTCCTGCAAGGCTCTAGGGGAGGAACCAGGCAGAATGGAAGTAGGTGTCCACCCTTTTCATGCCCCTGTGACCCAGCTCCAAGTTCAGGTGGCAGAGCCCTGTGCAAAGGAAGGGAAGGGGACCCTGTGGGTGGTGTCTTGTAGGCCCTTGCTGGGCTGCATGGACCCATGCAGGGCTTCAGCCCCACTCAACCTGGGCCTTGTGCAGTGAACAACCAAAACAACCCTACAGGAGAGTAAGTGCAGAGAGACTAAGCCCCAAAGAGCTCTGTGTTGTCCTGCTGTGGTAGCACCTTGCAGCGTCATGCTCAGGAGGCTGTTGATAAGGGGCTGCCTGTCTGAAGTAGGAACAGTATCCCAAGTGGGCCACTGAGAGAAGGGTGCTCACACGTCCTGGCCGCCTAGGGAGGACACCTCCAGTGTGTCCCCTCAGTCCCTCTAACTTAGGTGACATGAACACAGAGCTCCCAGTCACTTGCTGGGAAGGCTCCTGAGCTGGGCGGAGCTCTGCAGACTGTCACGTTCCTATTCAGGTCAAGGCCTGCTTCTCCTGGCGTCCCCAAGGCCTCCGAGGGACTTCTGTACTCACTGAGGACCTTCCCAGGGAGTTTCCCCTGCTCCCTGGCCTGGACCCAGCCAGCCAGTGCCCTGGCTCCCCTCCAGGATGTGCATGGGACAACGAACCTTCCCTGTGTCCCATCCCTGCCCCTAGAGTAGATCCTGCCAGGGGTCAGGCTGGCCTGAGTCTCTGTCCCAGCTGTCTAGGGCATGGGGCTGGGGGTGGGGACAAAGTGGGTGGAAACTCCAATCAGAGCCAGAGCCAGGTGACCTCTTCTCTGTAGGTCACCCGTTAGGCCCCAGGAGCTGAGTGTAGCCAGTCTCTAGTTTCTGTTCCAACAGGGACAGGGACCACTTTCCTGCAGGGTGTATACTGGGCAAGGCTGGGACAACTCCTATTTGCCCTTTAGTTTTGTTCCCAGTGGCTGTGGGGGACTCTCAGGAACAGTCTTTCCTGCCTCTCAATGGTGACAGGACTGGTCTCTCCAGGGGCAGGCGCTGATCCAGTCGAGTGTGTGTGGGGGGTGGCCTGCCCTTTCTGGTCTGAGCTGGTTACCCCAGGAGCTCCTACCTGCCCCGACCCCCGGCCCAGCTGGGCAATGAATGCTTCATGTTCAGGGTCTCTGGGCAGGTGATCAGAGACTCTGGGCCTTGTCAGGTGAGGGTTCCAGTCTATGGCTAAGGAGACTGAGCCCCAGGCAGCAGGGAGCAGCCTTGCTCAGCAACAGGGCAGGACCAGAATCCAGGGGGCAAACATGACCCCCCGCCTGCGCTGGCAACTCAGGGGTGGGTGCAGGGCAGGCTCGCTGATGTCAGGGCCTTGTGTTCTGGTTCTAGTCCAGATGTGCTGACCCAGAGGCTCCCCCTTGCTTAGGTACAAGCTTTGAGAAGAAGGGATCTGGCACACCCATCAGATGAAAGGGAGAATGAGGTCATCATGGGAAAGGGTGACATTGGGGACAGAGGCACGCGTGAGGTGGGCAAGTGTGGACACCCAGGGCTCTGCGGAGGCCTGTTCATAGGTCACAAGGCACTTGTCCCTATGCCTTGGGGAAGGATATTTCAGTAGGTCAAGAGTGGATCACTGTGGTCTCAAAGGTGTCCCTTGTGCCTGACCAGATGGAGTCTCCCCTCCCTGGCCCCTGCTGGGATGAGGCTGGCTTGTGTAGGGTCAGGGCAGACCAGGGGAAAGTGTCCCCCCCCCCCAATTGGGGGACGTGGCCTTGGCTGGGTTCTGGCTCAAGTTCTGAATAAGTTTACCTCTTTTTATTTTTAGGAGGTACTAAGGATTGAACTCAGGGGAACTCGACCCCTGAGCCACATCCCCAGCCCTATTTTGTATTATTTAGAGACAGGGTCTCACTGAGTTGCTTAGTACCTTGCCATTGCTGAGGCTGGCTTTGAACTTGCAATCCTCCTGCCTCAGCCTCCCGAGCTGCTGGGATTACAGGGTGCGCCACCGTGCCTGGCGCTGGCTCGCGCTCTCTCTCTCTCTCTCTCTCTTTTAATATTTTATTAGTTGTCAATGAATTTTTACTTTATTTGTTTACATGTGGTGCTGAGAATCAAACCCAGTGCCTTATATATGCTAGGAAGTGCTCTACCACTGAGCTACAACCCCAGCCCACCAGCCGGGCTCTTTTTATTTTTAACTGCAAAGCAGTAGCCAGCTTCCAGGCCCAGCCCTGGAACAGCAGGGCCACAGCCTTGCAGCCCTGAAGGAGGAGGGGCCCAGGGGTGGGAGGTGCAGTCCTGGGGCAGGAAGCTCCGCCAGTTTCCTCCAGGCTTCAGATCCACAAGGACCAGCCAACAGGGAACTTTCCCTTCCAGGCTGCCGAGTGGCGAGTGGCGTCCTCTGGGAAGTCCCCTGGTTGCAAAGCCCAATACGGGCTTTGTTAAGACAACCTCTGGATACCCAAGAGATGACCCTGGCCTTCTCCAGTCTGCACCCCTACCTGGTGGGGAGCTGCAGAGTCCCTTGATTCCCAGGATGAGGAGACACCTTCCAGGGTGGGGCAGGGCCTCCACCAGCAAAGCAGGTTCCCTGTGGGGAAATGTCAAGGTCAAAGAAGCAGACAGAAAAGAACCGCCATCTGCCAGAGAATTCCCCCGTTGGCATGTGGGCCCAGCTACTCCTGGGCTGGGCCCCGGAGTGAGAATAAATGGACATAATAAACATAAATACGTGGGCCTGCTGTGCCCACTGAACACGGCAGTACCTTTGGGCAGATGGGGTTTAGAGGCTGGCAGTGGCATTGGTGCCTTTCATTTTCTTGTCCTCCTTGGGGAGAAGGAGCATTTAGTAGGTTTGCTGAGGAAATCAGATCCAGAAGTCAGTGTGGGCTCCCACCAGGCTCTGAGCAGATCTCCTGGAGTCCCTGGGGTGAGGGGTGAGAGTCTGTTCAGGAAAGATGCTGCTGTCAAGGGAGCTGGGCAAGGTGGACATGACCCTCCAGGGGATGTGAAGGTGGCCCAGAGTGCTGGGGATCCTGGGGTGCTGGGAGTTCCCTCAAAGAGCCAGTGGGTCCGCGTCCGGCTCACATTGACTTGCTCCATGTCCCCACCCTGCCCCACAGCCACCGAGGCTCCCCGAGAGGCGCTGCGCTTCCACGAGGACACCAAGGGCGCGCAGGTGCATCTGGACGCGCTGGCTAGCACGGCGTGCAGGCGCGCCACCTTCTACGATGGCATCGTGTTCAGCCAGCGGCCGGTGCCCCCTGGAGAGCGTGTGGCACTGCGCGTGCTGCAGCATGAGGGTGGCTGGTGCGGTGGCCTCCGCGTGGGCTTCACGCGACTGGACCCTGCGCACGTGTCCGCGCCCAGCCTGCCGCCCTTCGTGTGCCCGGACCTGGAGGAGCTGAGCCCGACATGGGCCGCGGTGCTGCCCGAAGGCAGCGTGCTCCCCGGGAATGTGGTCTGCTTCTGGGTGGACCGCCGGGGCCGGCTCTTTGCCAAGGTCAACGCGGGCCGCCGGCTCCTTCTGCGGAAAGACGTGCTCCTGGGCGCGCCGCTCTGGGCGGTGATGGACGTGTATGGCACCACCAAAGCCATCCAGCTGCTGGGTGAGACAATGGGGGGACCCGAGTGCAGGCCGCGGAGGGGTGGGGCAGGGGAGAGGGACAGCAGGCTTTGCCGCAGGGACAGGTGGGCTGGAGCGCCCGGGGCTGTTCCCCTGGTCCTGACCCCCTCTCTGTCTCAGACCCCACAGCCAGCCTGGGTCCCACCGCTGTGCCGGCCGTCCGCAGGGAGGAGGCTTTGCCTGAGCAGGAAGGTGAGTAGACCCCCAACCTCCAGAAGCCCCTGCGGAGTGGGGCGGGTCGCCGACAGCCTCAAGTCTCTCCATTCCCAGAGCCCGGGATGGAGACTTTAAAGTTCTGCGTTCTAGAGCAACGGCTGGCTTTACAAGTGACAGTGTTCTTGTTAGAGCATCATCACGAGCACGTAATGCTATGCCTTTGCTGTAGAAAAGTAATCCATATTCATTGTAAGATTTTGCCAAATAGAAATAAGATTAAGGGATAAAGGTTTTTTTTTTTTTTTTTTTTTTTTAATGGTACCAGAGATTGATCCCCCAGGGGCAGTTAACCACTAAGCCACATCTCCAGACCTTTTTTCCTTTTTATTTTGTGACAGGGTTTCGCTAGGTTGCTTAGGGCCTCTCTAAGTTGCTGAGGCTGGCTTTGAACTTGCAATCCCCCTGCCTCAGCCTCCTGAGCCACTGGGATTACAGTCACAGTACCAGGCCAAGAAGAAAAATTTTAAAACCACCCGGACCTCTTGGATGGATTTCTTCCAGTATTTTTATCATAGGTGTGCATGCAGGCGCAGATGGACAAGTGTTGGACTTTGTTTTCTTTTTTTTCAAAATTGGAATTTCATAATCCACGTCCCCTCTTTATCCCCGAGGAGGCATGTTTCATGATGGTCCTCTGAATCCTGAAGCCGTGGGTAGCCCTATATACTTGGCTTTTCCTATACATGCCTATGAAGAAGTTGAATTTATGAATTAAGTATAGTAAGACATTCCCAACAATAACGAGTGATAAAACAGGATTATTCGGTAGTGTAATAGCAATCATTTAAAATTCATGAATTTTATTTCTGGAATTTTCCACAAAAAAAAATTTAATATTTTCAGACCACAGGTAACCATGAGATACAAAACCTAGACCAAGGGCGGACGACTGTCTGTGTGTCCGTCTTCTTCCCTTGATCACATCAGGAGTGTTGTCACGTGAGGTCATGTTCAGAAGATAGCACCTTTCTCTGTCCTGGGATCAGATCATGAGAAGTGGCCCACCCCTTGCCCCACGTGACCCCAACCTGTGTTCTCTTCTTTCCAGTCACACCAGACAACGAGTGCATCATCTGCTTCCAACATGCTGCCGACACCTGTCTTGACCCCTGTGGCCACTCACACTTCTGCAGCTCCTGTGCCCAGCGGATCTTCAGGGATACCGCCACGTGTCCTGTGTGTCGCTGGCAGATCAAGGCAATAGCCACAGTGTGGTCACCGAGGACTGGGGAAGGCTCATGAGAGAGGCTCCCCGGTGTAGCAGGTTGGACCTATCTCTGCAGAGGGAGCAGGCGCAGCCCTGCCCTCATCCTGGCCTGGGGTCAGGGGGCCTGGCCAGCAGCAGGCAGGACAGAGAGGGAGGCAGGGAGCTGGTGGTCATTGTACTACTCTTTCCCCAAGGGAAAGTTGGGCTGGGGCCAGTGTAGCAAAGAGAAACCTCTCTGCCCACACCAGGGTGTTCCCTTTCGGGGTGCTGTGTGCAGAGTGGATAGTTGATTCCTCGTTTCTGTAACCAAGGCTGCTGTATCTGTCCTGCGGTCCCAGCGTGTTGAAGACCTGGAACAGGGAGGCATGTCAGTGGAACTTACTGGGTTATCTCCCTCAAGTCCCCCACAAAGGGGTCTGTAGTTGTCTCTCAGGGTGCTTGTGAGGTTGTGATGAGATTGTGTGACTAAAGACCACCCAGCACTTGAAAGTGCACCGTAGTTATGATTTCCTCAACATTTCTGAAATACCACAATAAAGTTTGTTTTGTATGAATTTTTTGGATAATAACTCTGTCCCCCCTTTTTGTGTGTGCTCAGTGGGAGGGGGTGAAGCTCTAGTCACGATGCAGGACATTCGGTAACCTACCACCCTGCCATTCTGCCCACTCTAGACTTGCAGTGGTCTGGTTGGGCTCCGGGTACCCAGGCCATGGGCTCTATGAAGCTGAGCATGTGCAGCAGATGGTCCAATTCTCCCAGAGCCCTCAAGTCCCAGCCAGACCTTAACGTAGCCACACTGGGTTTTGGTGCATGGCCCGGAAGCTCTGGCCCTGACAAGGCAGAAGCTAACCTGGGAGCTGCCTCAGCAGGTGTGAGTGGCAGGGGAAGCCACATCTATTACTTTACTATTGTTCTCTGCTCTGTGACTGCCTGTAAAGGGACATTTCCTGGGTGTCTAAAAGAGGGGGTTCAAATCTATTATGCTAATTTTTTTTCAGATGGACACCATACCTTTATTTTATTTATTTTTACATGGTACTGAGGATTGAACCCAGTGCCTCACATGTGCTAGGCAGGCGCTCTATCACTGATGCTGAAAAGTTTTCATGATGGACACCTCCATCAGAGGCGTCTCTGCAGCCTCTTCACCAGCCCGAGGGCCAGGATGATGGGTTGGGTGATACCCAACATTCTGAAGAAGGATCCCTCTCTGCCACGCATAGTGCTCTAACTTTCAGCATGTGACTTGACCTCTGTGAGCTTCTGTTTATCTGTAAAGTGGAAATAAGATAATTTTCTTTTTGGTAAGTTGTGAGGATCATGAATATGCATCTTCTAGCTACAAAGTACTCAAAATATGCCATCTCCCTGGGGAAGGGCCAAGGGAACAGTAAGCCAGGCACCAGGGTCCAGGGGTGGATCCTGGCTTCCCACTGTCTTTTTCAAAGGCCCCCCATAACTCTCCAACTGGGAGGATTCCTAAGGACTCCTGTGTGTGTGTGTGTCTGTGTGTGTGAAGGCCTGAGTATTTAGATCACTGGTAGTATCCTGGATTCAAGCCCCATTATCCAAAGAAAAAAGAAAAGAAAGAAACACCCCCCCCCCATACACACACATACACACACCAGGGGTGGGAAGAACATATTGGGGTGTGAATTCCTTGGACAGCTCCATCCCCCTAAATATTGTCCCTAGTTGAGCTCCATGACACACATCTGTAATCACAACTTGGGGGGCTGAAGCAGGAGGATTACAAGCTCAAGACAAGCCTCAGCAACCTATCAAAGCCCTAAGCAACTTAGTGAGATCTTATCTCAAAATAAAAAATAAAAATGGACAGGGATTAGCTCAGTGGTAAAATGCCCTTGGGTTCCATCCCCAGTACCAAAAAGAAAAAAAAAAAAATATTGTCATCATCTGACCTGTGCTACAGTTCCTTGGTAAAACGTCATTTACAGTATGTTATCATTAAACCCAACACGGAGCTCTCTCCATGGAAAAGCTCCCACCCCCAGGACATTACTAATCCCCTTTGGGGCTCTCTGCATGGGAAAATTCCTATGTCCGGGACATTTGTCAGTTTTAATAAGCTTTAATTGCTTAACGTCACCGCTGCCTAATACGGTGATGCCCGCGTGGAGGCAAACAGAGTTGCCATAAATTTAAAAGGAAGATTAGGGAAATGAGATGTCCAAGGAGAACTTTGAGAAGCTCTAATAGATTCCTAGGGATCTGAAAAGCTATGCATATTCTCCAGAGAGACCTAGGAGTTTCCCAATCTTTGGCTGATCTTGAGGCTTTGGATAGGCAGGAAGTGAAGTCCAAGACAGAGTTGGAAACCGCCAAGGGACTGAGGGTTCACCTCAACCCACAGACAGAGCTCCTGACAATCAGTGGAAGTTTGCTAGGTCAAGGCGGTTAAGGAATTCTTGGTCCAAGCATTAAAGTGAATCACTGAACTAACTGAAGAAAGACTTCAATTGGCTGCATGTTACAGGAAATATAGACTTTACAGAATTAGCCCAGGAATGTCACTAAACAAACAGCAGCAACAACAACAACAAACCTTGGAGGGGAGAATTTTTTATTTTTCGGGGCTGCTAAATTATATTATTAAAAAAGGACCGTGTGGGGCTGGAGTTGTAGCTCAGTGGTAGAGCACTTGCCTCCCAAGTGTGAGGCACTGGGTTCGATCCTAGCACCACATAAAAACAAATAAAGGCATTGAGTCCATATACAACTAAAAATTTTTTTTAAAAAAATAAGGACAGTTTTTTTTTTAAAGCATGAAACCTATAAAGAAACAGAAAAGTTGCACACATAATTAGTCACTAGAAACTGTCTCTGAGAGAATAAGATGATGAATTTTCTAGACAATGACTTTAATTCAGCTACTGTAAATATGTTCAAAGAACTAAAGGAGGCTGGTAGTTCAGAAGTAGGGTATGTGCTTAGCATGTAAAAGTTCCTGGGTTCAATGCCCAAGATTAACAAATGAAAGGAAATCATGTGTAAAGATTTTTTTTTAAAGAGAGAGAGAGAGAGAGAGAGACAGAGAGTTTTTTCAATATTTATTTTTCAGTTTTCGGGGGACACAATATCCTCATTTTATTTTTATGTGGTGCTGAGGATTAAACCCAGCACCCCGCACATGCCAGGCTATTTGAGCCACATCCGCAGCCCATGTGTAAAGAATTTTAAAAACTGGGGCTGAGTTGGGGCTCAGTGGTAGAGCGCTTGCCTAACATGTGTGAGGCACTGAGTTCGATACTCAGCACCACATAAAAATCAACAAATAGAGGCATTATGTCCACCTAAACTCAAATTTTTTTTTAATTTTAAAAAGTATGTCAGTGATGTAAGAATATCAGTAGAGAATATCAGTAGAAAGATAGAAAATATTTTTAAAAATAGAAATTCTGGAGTTGAAAAGTACATTATGTGAAATAAAAAATCCACTAAAGGGACTCAGCAGCACATTTGAGCTGGCAGAAGAAAGGATTAATGAACTAGAAGATATGGTGATAGAGATTATCTGGTCTGAAGAATAGAAAGAAAAAGGAACAAAGCCTCAGAGACTTGTGAGATACCATCGTCCACTCTCATACAAGTCATGGAAAATACCAGAAGGAGAAGAGGGAGATAAAAGGTGTGTTAATCATCATTTAGCTGCTGTGATAAAATACCTGAGATAAAAAACTTTAAAGGAGGAAAGGTTCATTTTGGCTTACAAGTTTCAAAGGTTTCAGTCACAGTCACTTGATTTCATCATTCTCGGGTCTGTCATGAGACAGAACATCAAGGTAGCAGGAGCATGTGGCAGAGGAGGCTGCTTATCTTGTGGTGGCCAGCTAGCATAGAGAGGAGGGCACCAGGGACAAAATATCTTCTTCAAGAACACATCCCCGGGGGCTGGGGATGTGGCTCAAGCGGTAGCGCGCTCGCCTGGCATGCGTGCGGCCCGGGTTCCATCCTCAGCACCACATACAAACAAAGATGTTGTGTCTGCCGAAAACTAAAAAATAAATATTAAAAGTTCTCTCTCTAAAAAAAAAAAAAAAAAAGTTAAAAAAAAGAATACATCCCCAATAACATTTCTCCAACAAGTTTCTACCCCCTAAATTCCCACAGCCTCCCAATAGTCCATTAAGCTATGAATCCATCCATGAGTTAATCTATTCATGAGGTTAATGCTCTTATGATTCAATCACTCCTCCCACCCTAAAACAAGTCCCACCTCTGAACACTGCTGCATTGGAGACCAAGCCTTCAACATAAGAACTTTTGGTGGGACATCTAATATCCACATTATTATAAAGGAAAAGAAAGAAAAATTGTAGAAGTCCAAAGATATCTTATTTCAATGAAAGATATTAGTCTACACATCCAAGAAGCTCAACAAACTGCAAGTAGATAAACTTGCAAGTTATCTTCATTCTCATGCCCCACTCCACCTTCACCTTAAGAGGATAGATGAGTTCCATGCTGGGATACACTACAGTCCAATTGTCGGAAATCAAAGACAAAGAGGATCTAGAGACAGAACAAGAATTTATTACATACAAGGGAACCTCAATAGAAGCTGGCTTTTCAGATGATACACTGGAAGAATTGAAGGAAAAGAATAAAAATTCTATAACCAGAAAAACTGTCCTTCAAAAGTGAAGAAGAAATTCAGAAATTTATTTATTTTTTATTTATTTTTTTTAAAGAGAGAGAGAGAGAGAGAGAGAATTTTTTTTAATATTTATTTTTTAGTGTTCGGCGGACACAACATCTTTGTTTGTATGTGGTGCTGAGGATCGAACCCGGGCTGCACGCATGCCAGGCGAGCGTGCTACCGCTTAAGTCACATCCTCAGCCTGAAATTCAGAAATTTATGATAAAGAATCAGAGAATTCACTGCTAGTACTCTTGCTGTATATGAAATAGCTACAGGGGTATCTTCAGACTACAATGAGAGGAACAATCTTTAACCTTTCTTCCAATTTTATAGATAGAAAAATGGAGAGCCAACAAGGCCCTTATTAATGA